AGAAAACCTCAGAGTCTCTGCCCAAAGGCTCCTAGATCTGATAAACAATTTCAGGAAGGTTTCAGGAAACAAAATCGATGTACAAAACTCAGTGGCATTTCTATATGACAATAATGTCCAAGTGAGAGCCAAATCAAGAATTCAATCCCATTTGCAATAGCCACAAAATAACAATAATAAATAATACCTAGGAATACAGCTAATCAGGAAGGCAAAAGATGTCTACAGTGAGAATTACAAAACACTGCTGAAAGAAATCAGAGACAACACAAATGGAAAAACATTCCATGATCATGGATAGGAAGAATCAATATGGTAAAATAGCCATGTTGCCCAGAGCAATTTGCAGATTCAATGCTATTCCTATCAAACTACCAACAACATTTTTCACAGCATTAGAAAAAAGTATTCTAAAATTCATATGGAACCAAAAGAGAGCCCAAATAGCCAAAGCAATCCTAAGCAAAAACAACAAACCTGGAGGCATCACACTATCCAATTTCAAACTATACTACAAAGCTATAGTAACCAAAACAGCATGATACTAGTACAAAAACAGACACACAGACCAATGGAACACATTGGAGAACTCAGAAATAAAGCTGCACACCTACATCCATCTAATCCTAGACAAAGTTGACAAAAACAAACAACAGGGAAAGGACTCCCTATTTAATAAATGGTGTCAGGATAACTGGTTAGCCATATCCTAAAGATTAAAACTGGACTCCTTCCTTCTACCACATACAAAACTCAACTCAAGGTGGACTAAAGAAGTAAACGTAAAACTGAAAACTATAAAAACTCTGGAAGATAATCTAGGAAACACCATTCTGGACATCTGCCTTGGGAAACAAAAGAAATTATCAAGAGAGTAAACAGACAACCTACAGAATGGGAAAAAATATCTGCAAACTATGCATCTGACAAAGGTCTAACATTCAGAATCTACAAGGAACTTAAATTGACAAGCAAAAAACAAACAACCCCATTAAAAAATGGCCAAAGGGTTGGGTGGGCGGTGGCTCACACCTGTAATCCCAGCACTTTGGGAGGCCGAGGTGGGTGGATTGCTTGAGCCCAGGAGTTCAAGACCAGCCTGGGCAACATGGCGAAACCATGTCTCTACTAAAAATACAAAAATTAGCCAGGCATGGTGGTGCATGCCTGTAATTGCAGCTACTCAGGAGGCTGAGGCCCAAGAATCACTTGAACTCAAGAGGCAGAGGTTGCAGTGAGCAAAAATTGTGCCACTGCACCACTGCACTACAGCCTGGGCCACAGAGTATGACTCAGTCTAAAAAAAAGGGGGGGGAGGGGTGGTGGCAAAGAACATCAACACTTTTCAAAAGAAGACATACACGTGGCAACAAGCATATGAAAAAATGCCCAACATCACTAACCATTAGAGAAATAGAAATCAAACCCATAGTGAGATACCATCTCACATCAGTCAGAAAGGCAATTATTGGATGGGCATGCTGGCTCACGCCTGTAATCACAGCACTTTGGGATGCCGAGGTGGGTGAATCATCTGAGGTCAGGAGTTCGAGACCAGCCTGGCCAACATGGTGAAACCCCGTTTCTATTAAAAATACAAAATTAGCCAGGGGTGGTGACACACCCTCTAATCCCAGCTACTTGGGAGGCTGAGGCAGGAGAATTGCTTGAACCTGGGAGGCGGAGGTTGCAGTGAGCAGAGATTGTGCCATTGCATTCCAGCCTGGGTGACAGAGTGTGACTCCATTTCAAAAAAAAAAAGGCAATTATTAAAAAGTAAAAAAATAACAGATGCTGGTGAGGCTGCAGAGAAAAGAGAACACTTATACACTGCTGGTAGGAATGTATATTACTTCATTGTGGAAAGCAGTTTGGAGATTTCTCAAAGAACTTATAACTACCATTCAATCCAGCAATCCCATTACTGGGCATATGCCCAAAGGAATCTAAATCATTCACCAAAATGTTCACCAAAAACTTATACAAAAATATTCAGAGTAGCTTATTCAGAAAACTCCAAACAAGAAACAGTACTGATGTGCACCAATAGGATAAAAACTGTGGTATACCCATATAGTAAAACTACTAAGCAATTATAAAGGAATGAACTACTGATAAATGCAACAAGATGGATGATTTCAAAGACATTATGCTGAGTTGTAAAAAAGTCTACACAAAAGAAAACATATTGTATGACTCAGTTTTATTAAGTTGAGTTGTAGGGGAGTTAACTGGAAAGGAACTTTCAGAAGTGCTAGTAACATGTCTAAGCAGAAGTTTAGGTTATAAATTTGTATACATTTTTCAAAACTCATGGTATGTACACTTACTATTTGTGCATTTTATTGTATGCAAACCTTACCTCAAGAAACAAAAACTGTAAAAAATAGTTTAAGAGGTATGGTCTGTTACAAACTACAGAGTAAAATTGTTCTTAAAAAGAAAAATAAATTCAATTATTTGGGGGGAATATATGCTTCAAATCAAGTATATGAAGGATCAGTATGGACCTTACACTTATCCACAAGTCTACATAGTTTGCTCCCTCATGTCCTTCGGGTCTCTGTGAAAATGCAATTTTAATAGAAAGGCCTAGCAGTCCTGTAACAAACAATCCCATTCCCCTCACTTTCTATCCCTATGTCCTATTTAATATTTACTTGTAACTTTTATTACCACTACAAGAACACATTTGTTTATTATGTCTCTCCACCACCGGAATATAAACCCCAAGGGAGAAAGCATTTTTCTTGTTTTCTGTTATCTTCAGAGCCTGGGACAATGATTGACCCATCACTGGTACTCAATATTTGTTGAATAAACAACTGAATGAATATTACCAAGGATGTGAATTGCACCTGGGGCAAACACTATAAAGGGCTTTACCATGGGAAAGGGAGAGCATTCTGAACACATTATTCCATTTACAACATGCAATGTTCCACTCAATTATCATCAACTTGTGATGTGGATTTTAATGGAAATGTGTCCGGGCTTTAAGGGACAAAAAAAAATATATATATACACACACACACACACACACACACACACACACACACACTAACCAGAGTCTCCCTTCTCTTATCTCTCTACCTTTTGGTCTCTACCCACAGGGAGGCTATCATTTCCACTGAAACCCGCCTACTCCACATATCTTGTCTCTCTCCAGCCCTTACTTGATACTCCCTCAGTAAGGAAGAGTGACGAATCTGATAAATCACTTTGATATTCATTTGGCCATGTTTTACTTGAGAGTGAGATCACCGAGGGAAGCTTGCTCATGTTCTTGCCAGCTTTTTGTCTCTTTTTTTTTTTTTTTTTTTTTAAGGAGACCTATTAGGACTTGACTTTCTCAGTGCCACCTCTGATTAGCTGTGTGAGGCAGGTCTATAGGCCTTATTCACACTTCACATTGGGTAAGGAGTCTAACCTTTGCAAATCCAAGTCAAGACTCTACAGGATGACCTGGACAGGATGGGGTTTCAGGCCTAAGTCATGTTCTCCCGTACATTGTTTTACATTAAGAGCCTTGAATTGAGGATTATAGGATACTTGCATAGATTAATAAAGTTTCTACCAATGTCCCATTTGGACAGTAATCACTGAATATATACCATATTAGTCAAAACACTAGATGAGTTCTGAAACTCTACCTCAAGAAAAATATAAAAGAAACATAAAAATAATGTAATACTCCATTGGTGCTAAATAACTTATTTTAATAAATTTGTCTTTAATACAAGTGTAAAACAAGAGTCCTTTCATTTCAACTATAGTTAAACCCAAACTTTAAAACCAGTCAATAATTAACAATGTATTAATTTTGAAAAGTTTTTAACTGTAAGAGTATCAAATATAATACAGAGCTCTTAAATACTTAATGCTTTCTGTCACAATATTAAAAATAAACTTAACATTCCAAGACTATGAAAAGTGCCCCCTCCCAATGTTTTTGAACAAGTAAAAGTATAGTACCTGCTGGTGTTTACATTTGTTAAAAATTTAAAATAACAACAACAACTTGAATGTGATTTGAGTACTTCTAAACCATCCAAAATACCTGATACGGGTAGTAGGTTCATGGTTTTGGTAAAAGAAACTAGGTCAGAGTTTTAATGTTATAACTGGACTTTTAAATCATAAAGAAAGAAAATCTGATGTCATTTAGTATCTTTTCTTGTTTATTTTTAATTTTGCTAAGAAGGAACCAGATTTTATATCATCATTCTTCATCTGAATGGACTGCCATATGAAGTTCTGGTTTCTCCGTTTCTTCTTGGTTAGCTGGTTACTACCAAATGCCTGAGGACAATTCTCAGAGCATTTCCACATGAAGGTGATTAGTTTTCATTTAAAATAAAATTAATAACACATGTACATGTAGATGAAAATATAACAAAACCATATGAAAGCTTGTCAGAGACATTCAACTAGAAACTAAAACGGTAGCCACTAGAAAGAAGACATAGTGGAAAAATTTTTAAACTGAGATACTTTTTGTTGAATAATTACAGTAACTACTACCAATATATTCAGACCAATGAAGATTAGAAAGAACATGCAAAATGCTGAGAAAAGTAATTTCCCCTACAATTAAAACAAACGTGTTTTAATGAGAGATAAAAAAATCAGTCAAGCTCTTAAAATGAAAATTACAAAACAAAACATGGGATTAACAATTTATTAAAAATTACACCCTTGATTTTCTTGAGGGAAAAAAACAGTAGTTTTTTTTATAACAAGGGCATGAGAAAGACTTCAGATTAAGACTCATACTCTGTTCTAAATGAAAAGTAGTAAAATTACTTCTAGTAGAAAATATCTGCTATGGAAAAAACTTTCAGGTATTTTCCATTTGATGTAGGTATTAATAAAAAATATGATGTTTATATCTAAAATATAAAGCAGCAATTTATTTTCATTTATAATATAAAGTGTTTTAGGAAAAGTTTACTCTTCTCAGTGTTCAAAACAAAATGGCAATTGTTTTCCATACCCAGCAATTTTAATGATAATGTAAAGTAAAAATTTAATCCTGCTGAACTAAAGCTCAATAGATTCAAATTTTAAAAATATGAAAATATCTACATTTTTAAAAGTTTAAAATTTTTGTTACTTTGCAATGACAGATCTGCTTTTTCTAACATTGAAAAAATTTTGCCTTCTTTTATTAATATAAAACTATTCAAATAATCACAACACAATCCCTTATACCAGAAAAGCATAATCACATGATACACTCATAACACTCAAGAATTACAATCCAGAAAGGGGAAGTCTTCCTCAAACAAAGAATTTCTTTCTTTCTGTCACCTCCATTCCATATATATAGTCTTCATTTCACATCACATACATAGAAAAATTATCACAATCTAACAGGTAGATAAGAAAAAAATTTTTTTTGGCCTTGTAGAGCTCATCAAGTAAATTTATTCATTCTTCTTAGTATGTTTCTTTTTAACATTATCTGAAGCAACATCTACAGGCTTTGAGGCCAATGAACCAACACCATTGGAAGGTGATTTTGCTTCACTTTTCTTCTCACATGATGAAAACGGCTGCTGCCAGCCAAAGAGCATCCGACTCAATGTATCCTCAAAAGGAGCAAATGTCATAGTAGAAGTCTGTGTAGTCATCATGGTTATCTGGGGGAAAAAAGTTCAATTTTGAATTTAAATACAAATGCTTTTTGTTTCTCAAGAGAGAAAAACAAAGGAAAAAAATCAAAATGCATTAATGTAAACTGCAGGAAAAGCAATTTAAGCTACATTCTGGTAAAATCTCTGTTCTCCATGAGATTATACTTAATGGAAAAGAACACAACTCATTAAAAATAATACAAGGTACCATATTTTGGGGTGCCAAATGATCAGAATAACCACTTTCACAAAAATGCATTTAGTATTCAAAGGAAGTAAGATAAAATATCAACATTACCATGCACTTGTGTCAGAGCTAAGATAAGTGCTTTACATTGTCATTCTCTTTAATTTTAACCCAACAACTACTCTATTATTATCCTTATCAGTGAGATGTGGAACCAAGGCTCTGAAAGGTTAAATAACTTGCCCAAAGTCACAAAGCTAATAAGTGGTAAAGAAGTTTGCAATATCCAGATTTTGAGTTCAATTACTAAATAAACTGACTATCATCATCTAAAGTCACAGACTTTTAGTGAATTGCAGAATTCCACCCTCAACAGATTGTAGAAAGTCTCTATCCCCCAATTTTTTCCATATATATTTTTATATAAAGGAACCAAGACCTCAAAGGGTAGAGAGTGCTCCCATTCCTTTATGTGGCAAAATGCACAGTGTTCACAGATGTTTAGATACACTCAAGAAATTAGACTGATGCCAACATAAATCTGGGAGGAGAACTTTCAAGTCTAGAATAGCTCCAAAGAATCCAGGAATTTCCCCAAGAGTCAATTCCTCCAGAACACAGATAATGACTCAAACTAGAAATTTTGGGTATCAAATTTCCAAAGAAGACCCCTACATAACCTACCTGCTTGGGGAAAATGGTATCAAGAATAAATTCTTACTAGTTGCAATACAGTAGGGGGAGTTGGAAGAAAAGTATATGTTCATTACAAAAGGAATAGGTAAGTTAAATGCATACTATGCAATAGTTAGACTAGAAAAGAAAAAGCAAAAAATTCTTAGAACATACTGTTAGGTGAAAATGAGACACAAAACAAGAGCCAGAGTGTACTATAATTTATATAAATTAAAAACACATCGACACACAACATTGTGAGAGTACTAAAGATCACCGAAATGTATATTTTAAAACAGCTAATTTTATGTGAATTTGAACTCAATTAAAAAAATTTTTTTAAATACAAGCCCATGGACTTCAGGCCAGTCATGATTAAATAGCTTCTATCAGGACTCAGTCTCTCACCAAAATCAACAAAAGACAGAAGTACATAAAGTAACTGCTAAAAGACACTGACAAACAACTGAAATAGGCAGAACCTGATGGTGCTACTATCCAAGAGAAAAAAAGCTGAGCAGACACTTTAGCAGCCAGCTGCTTGGTACTGGGAAGATAAGTTGGAACTCAAGGTCAGACAAGGTGAAATTGCCCAGGGATATACTTCAGGCTTAAAGTAAGACCCCAAAAGGGTTACACTGTAGAAGGGCAAACTGAAATGCAATACAGCACTAAGTCTAAAACTAACAATATGATTAAAATATTCTGCTTGTGCATTAACATTAACAACTGTCTTCCAGAAGATGTTAAATGTAGTCCCTGCCCTCAAGGAGCTTACCTACTAGTCAGAGATAGGCAAGTAAATCAGTAATTGCCAAACAGTAAAGAAGAGTAAGGGCAGTAATGGAGATTTCCCAGGAACATTTAAACAATGGATATAGATCTGGAAGTCGTTTATCACACAAGTGAAAGGTAAACGCATAAATATGAGTGTACACACCTGGAGAGAATGTAAAATGAGGAGTCTAAATATAACATTAACCTCCAAGTTTATGCCATTATTGGGTAAGATCTAAGGACTTTTTTATATTAAATTATTCCTTAGAATAAACAGTTACAATGAGATACACTAGCATAATCACCTTGGTCATAGCTTGACTTAAGGAACTGCAAATAAAAGATAATAGAAGTCAAATAAAAAACAATGGTCTACTGTCAGGAAAACAGCAATGTCTTTTTTTTTTTTTTTTTTTTTTTTTTTTACAAAATCCAAAAGAGAAGAGTGTCAGGATTTAAAATATTTTCTGAGAACATGAACTATAATAAGTATTTTTCAAAGTCGAGTGTTTTAATAGAATCTCCACTCCCAAAAGACTCATCACTCAGTTGAGAAGTATTGCTGGCATCAGAAATTACTGCTGAGATAGACATATGAGGTTCAAGGACAAAATTCTGTGAATTCAGCCTCTTATCAGACCTTGATTTAACAAGGTGACAAATATAATTGTGACAAATAGAATAAATCCTTATTCTTTTACAAATAAAATATAAAACTGTCTCCTTATTTAGCAAACTATTAAAAGAAAAAGCATATTACCTAAAATAAACAGTATTTGGCTTCATAGTCTCTTACTTAAAAAGGAGAGGAAACAAAAGAAAATAGAAGCCCTAAAAATATTTTGGTATTTTCAACATATCCTAAAATATAAATTAATTCAGGTAAAGAAATTGTTTATATGCTATCTCAAGTTACACCATTTCAAAATGTCCAGTAAAATGTGACACACAATATAAGTACAAATGGCACTTACATCTACTTTTATATTCTCTGTAGTGCTTAGCATTGAGAATACACTGAATGAATAAATATAACATCTACTTCATAGCATTAATTCAAAGGATACCTTAATATATCTATATAAGAAAAATTTACACAATTAATCTCTCTTTTCATCCAGAACATACTTCTTCCTGTCTCTACCTGCCCAAATTCAAATAATCCTTTGCAGTGCAACTTGTGTCTATTCCAATAGGCCCTTATCAGTGTCTTCCAATGAAAGTCACTTGGCCCTAAAATGAATCCCTAATGGCACATGGCATATTCAAGTAGGTTTTCTGATCACTCTATGCTTTCTCCATAGATTATATCATTCCCTCAGACTTTGCTAATTATTAACGTGAATGATTCAAATAAATTAAAATCATAGGGTTTATATTTTTACAAATGTAAAAAAAGCTAGGCGAATGAACTGTTCATTTTTGGTATATATCTTTAAGTGTGCAATAATTAGAGACCTGTGAAAGAGCATTTTGACCATTTACTAGTCAACAAATACATATTAAAAATCAACTATATACACTAGACTCAATGCTAACGATGCAGTGATGAATACTGCAAACTTAGTACCTCTCCTCATAAAGTTTAAAAAGTTGAGTTAGCATATCTCATGTTCCTTTTTAGACAATAATATCTTAAGAATAGGGTTTGGGTCTTATTCAATGTTTATATAATCACTTATATCCCCCAAAGCACCTAAGAACAGTGTCCCTCATTCATGTATTCAACAATACATTATACCTTATTCAATGCATCAATGAATAAAATATATACATTACACCTTATTCAATGTATATATGATCATTTGGATCCCCAAAAGGGCCTAAGAACAGTGTCTGTCATTCATGTATTAAACAACACATTACCTGAAGACACTTCTCATCAGTATTCAGCACATCTACACTCCTTAAAACCATCTCCTCCTCCTTAAAACTCTCATCAACCACTCCTTTTCCATTTCCCATTCTAGATTTCCCTTCTCTAAATATTAGAGAACTTTAAGGCTCTGTCCTCACTCCTGTCTCATTCCATGCTTGTCTTCCTATAACTGCCTCCCTAAATTAGCTTATAAATTGCAATAAACAATAAACACAATTGCAATAAAAATAACATGGTTTTTTACAGAGCTAGACAAATTGCTATTAAAGTTCATACCAATAAACAAGAATAGCTAAAAATATATTGAAAAAACACAAACATAGAAGAAATCCAGAAAACACTGAAAAAGAACATTTGCAGGAGTGCCTGATTCTCCACAGCCTCATCAACAGAATGTGTAGCCAGACTTTCAAACTTTTAGTTTGTGGGAAGGTTGCTTGAGTCCAAGTTTGAGACCAGCCTGGGCAATAGAGTGAAACCAAAATTGTACAAAAAATACAAAAATTAGCCAGGCATGGTGGCACACACCTGTAGTCCCAACTACACTCAGGTGGCTGAGGTGGGAAGATTGCTTGGGCCTGGGAAGTCAAGGCTGCAGTGAGCCATGATCATGCCACTTCACTCCAGCCTGAGCGACAGAGCAAGACCCTGTCTCAAAAGTAAAATAAAATAAAAATTTAAAATTTTGTGCCAGTTTGATGAATGATAAATGGTATCTCAAGTGTTATTTTAATTAATGTTTCTCAAGTACGAGTTCTACATTTTTCAATATGTTTGAGGAACATTTCCCGATCTTTTCTGTGTGAACTGTCTGTTGATAACTTTAACTTTTCCATCAGGTTTTGGTCCTTTATCCCTTAATTTTTAAGAGGCTGTTATATATCAGGCATACCAGCCCTCTGATATATGTTGTAAGTATTTTATCACAGTTATTTGATAGCTATATTTTGACTTTGTCCACAGTGGCTTTTGCCGTGCAACTTTAAAAAACAATTTATGGAGTCAAATTTATCAATCTTTTCTTTATACTGAAGGAAGAACCAAGTAAACCCCAAAGTAAACAGAAGGAAGGATATAATAAAGACCTGAAATTAATGAAATCTAAAACAGAAAAACCAATGAAACCAAAAGCTGGGTCTTTGACACAAATCCATGAAATTGACGAACCTCTAGGCAGAGTGCTTTTAAAAGAGAGAAAAAGAAAACACAGATTACCAATATCAGGAATGAAAGGAGAGACATTACCACAAATTCCACAGACATTAAAGGGATAACAAAAAACTATTATGAACAATTTCATGCCAACAAAAAAAAACTTAAGTGAAATGGCAAATTCCTTAATAAATACAACTTAGTAAAACAGACACAAGTAAATCTGCATAGCCCTGTATCTATGTAAGAAACTGTTATCAAAAACCTTCCTTTAAAGAAAATTCTAGGCCCAAATGACTTCATTAGTGAATCTATCAAACATTTACCAATAAATAA